GAAACATTTTGAAATTATTAAATCCGAATGACTTCTCTATTTGTTTATAGTGTGAAATAAAAATACCGAAGATTTGCATGTACCTGATTAAAAAAAAGTATTAACATAAAGAAAAAAGTATTGGTTTTCTATTCAATCCAATACTTTTCAATACTTTTTTCTTTGTCTCAATATTTTTTTTTTATTCAGGGGTATTGAATATCGTTATGATATTCATTTAAAATTTTTTTTATGAAAAATAAATTTTCCATATTCAATTTTTTAAATCATCAAAATAACTGTTAAAAAATTGAAAGTTTTATCTAAAATAAAAAAAAAATTAATTCGATATTTCTCATATTTGCAAAATCTTTAATTACATCTACAAATTTCAATAATTTCTGAATATCCAAGTGCAAGAATTTCGAAATTTTTTAAATTAAAGTATGTGAGCTGATGTATATTAAAGCAAACGACTTATAATAATAATAATAATAATAATAAATGTCTTTATTATTTTCATTTTGAATATACAGAATATTTACAAAATTACATATATATCAATTCGCTACATTTTATGCAAAATGAGAAATAAAGGGCGAAGTTCAATTCATGTGATGAAACTCACCACTGAATTGCTCTTCCACTTAACCCAAAACAATAAAAAAAATAAAATTATATTATATTTATAAATATATCGCTTGAACAGTTCATAACACAGAAAAGAAAAATAAATAAAAAAAAAAGAAATTAGAAAGACATGAGATATACCTATTAAACACTATCTGAGCATTTACAACTATGCAGCATATAACACATTTCTATATGATTTCTTGAATTTTTCATGACTGACAGATTTTAGTGAATTTGGAACATTATTATAAATTGCACATACATTATAAGAGAAACATCGTCTAAACAGCTCTAACCTAAATGGTGGTGGAGACAGTATACCTTTATGTCTTATATTTAAATTGTGCACGTCAGTTCGATAAGTGATTTTCCTGTACAAATATAATGGAGTTTTATTAACAATAATTTTGTGAAATGTACTTGCAGCGTGAAGTGTTCTTCTATTGTACATGTTAAGCCATCCTATTTCCTTTAATTTGTGAGAAATAGGCAGTCTTCTTCGAATACCGAAAATTAAGCGAAGACAAGAGTTTTGTACCTTTTGAATTTTTTGTTTATATTGGCTGGTTAAGCATGGCCCATACAGGACATCTGCATAATTAAAGATCGAGAGAATAAGACTTTCACATAAAAGCTTCTTGATATCAGAAGATAAGAACTGCCTATTTCCATATATCAATTTGATTGTTGAGTATGCACGCCCAATTAAGTTATTTATATGTTTTTCAAATCGCAAATCAGCATCTAAAACTACACCAAGACTTTTAACATGATTTACTAATTCAAGACGCTCGTTATTAACTAATATGTTTACATTCTCTAATACAGAATCGCGTTTATATCTAGTACCAAAGACAATAACATTAGATTTGCTACAATTTATTTTCAAACAGTGGTCAGAAGCTGATTTTACAAATAATTCAAGGTCTCTATTTATACAAGCACATGCATCATCTACTTTATTGGGGTCAAAACTGTAGTAAAGTTGAGTGTCATCCGCATACAAGTGAGCATTACAGCTTTGAAGGCATTTTAAAATATTGGATGTATACAGAGCAAAGAGTAAGGGACCTAAAATAGAACCCTGGGGTACACCACATTGGAGATCTAAGTAAGGAGAAGATTGACCATTGATCGTAACTAGCTGTTGTCGATTTGTAAGGTATGAATTTAAAAGAGACACTGCATTCTGGGAAAGACCTAAATTACTTAGAATAGATGACATTAATTTATAGTTAAGAGTGTCAAATGCCCTACTAAAATCTAGTAGGACCAAAACTGTGCAATGACCCTTATCCAAAGATTTAATAATATCATCCACCACATGGAGTAAAGCAGTTGTGCAGCTATAGCCTTTACGAAAACCTGATTGAGTTACAGGTAACAAAGAGTAGGCGTCAATATGTTTCCTAAGTTGCACTTCTATAGCTTTCTCTAAGATTTTAGATAATGTTGGCAACATGCTAATAGGTCGAAGATCTTTATACTCTCGAGGATCTGATTTTTTTGGCAACACCTTCACCACCGCTCTCCTCCATGAAAGCGGAAAAATATTATTAGTTAGGCAAAAATTAATAATATGCGTAATATATTGAACAATGTGTGGACAACAATATCGAATTAGTCTTATACTTATTCCATCACCCCCCGTAGCATTAGTCTTTATCTCTGCAATAGCTCGCGAAACAAATAAATCGTTTATTTCAGTAAAATTGAATTTAGAATCTATTCTACTATTATTATTATAAAATAAGGTTAAATATTCAGGGGGTTGAGATCCAGCAACAGAATTTATAAGATAGTTATTAATATCAACAGGGTTATTAAGACGATCAGGAATGGAGTACTCTTTAACAGGCAAGACTCTATATGTTTTCAGTGATTTCCAAAATTGTTTAGAATTTTTATTATTAAACTCAAATGTAAAGAAAGCTTTTTTCTCCCGTTTTATAGCACTGTTTGTGTAATTTCGCATATCTTTATAAAATTGGAAATGGGCATCTGACTTAGTGTTTTTATACCTTTTAAAGGCTTTATCTCTAATATCCATCATTTCCCTTATTGCACCGGTAAGCCAGGGAGCTCGCGGCTTAGTTATCCGTGCTGTCACTAGTGGCATATGTCTATCAAACAAATTATTCAAACAGTTTACCAAAAAATTAATTTTTTCATCTATCCCCTCTTGATCATATATTCTAAAAAAAGGCATATTATACAAGTCTCGCAGAAAGTCGTTTTCATTAAAAAACTTAAAATTCCTATAAGTTACTGTTTTCGGTCCCTCTTTCTCCAAATAAACTTTTAATTTGCAATAAGCAATATCATGATCAGCAATAATACCTGTTACTGGGATGACACCCTTCTCCACTAGCCAATCTTTAGATGTCACAATACCATTTAAAAGTGTGGCTGTTGTATCTGTTATTCGTGTTGGGGTATCAAGAACTTGATAGAGCCCAAAACATTGAAGAATAGTTAACAATTTATCTACTGTAGTATTTTCAAAATTTAAAAAATCTATATTAAAGTCACCTCCACAAATTACTTTATCAAAACTTGGACATAGCGTACTAAGTATGTCCTCCATTTCATCAATGAATGAGTTAGAATTCACCGTAGGGGGCTTGTATACAGCACCTAAAGCAATAGTTATATTTTTAATTTTAAGCTTCACCCAAAGTTGCTCAGAAAATTTTCCGCTACAGTTTAATTTAGTACTATTTATGTTACTTTTGACGTAAATACACAAGCCTCCCCCGGCAGATCCTCGATCTAACCTGTATAAAGTATATCCTTCTAATCTAACTAACTCATTTGAATATATTTTCTTAAGCCAGGTTTCACATATAATAAAAATATCAAAAGAGTGTTCCGCAACAATCAATTGCACATCATGCATAGATGGCAACAGCGATCTTGCATTGAGACAACCTATATACAAAATATTATTCATTTAATTCAATTCAAAAATATCAATACAAATTACCATTAAATACGAATAAGTTTAATAGGTATAACAAAAACTTGACTACTGATAAGATTAACCTCAAGAACAATAAAAATAAAAATCGCTTACCAGAAGTGAAACTGGGTACGATTCAACTGCATACATTAGGTGCTGCTAAACCTATTAATACCAAAAAATAGTATAATTTAGAAAAATAATCATTTTCCAAACTAAACAACCTAAAGAAGAAAGGACACCGAATAAGAAAAAATAACATTTTGCTAAATGAGAACTGAATAAATAGTTCAGAATTTCAAAAGATCTTCACTTGAAAGAATTTTGTATACATTTTCAGCTCCTTCCAGCTTGATGAAAATTGTACCAGAATTGGTCCAGGTTTTCCCATTTTTACCAATTTTTGTTATCGCCATCTTTAATAGTCTTGATTGCTCAGGAGTAAGATCTTCTCTTATATTAATTTTTGTAGATTTCAACAATTTCTTATTGGAGTATACCGTATTTCTTGCGAATGCGTTACAGAATTTTATCAATATAGGTCTTGTTTTACCGATAACAACTTTTCCAATCCTATAAGCACATTCTAAATCAGACGAGCTTACGTTTAATTGCATTTTATGAAAAGTATTTAAAACACTGTTTGAACAGTTCTCTTCTTTAATCTCATTAACACCATACATTAGCAGGTTTAGGCGTCGTACACGTTGTTCATATTTTTCTTGTCGAAACAACATTAGTTTAATTACTTGATTTTGATTTTCTAAAGATTCTTCAAGTTTGGTGACTTTATCCTTTAAAAATTTAAATTCGCCTTCAAATTTATTGGAAATAATATTAAATAATGTATCACTTAATTGATTAATAAACGTGTCAGATGTACAGAGTGCGTTCACTATTGTTTTAATCGATTGGTGCAGTTCTTCCTCACCTTTCTTACTACGTGAACCCATTACGAAAAAATAAATGCAGTTTTTGAAACACCTACAGTATATATGTTTAGAACTTAATGAACCAACTGACAGTAACTATAGATACAGTACCTCCAAGAATTTTCACAAATAAAAATGCCGTTTTTCCCACAACTTTTGCCTAAATAGCAGCACACTATGCGATACACGTCTATTCACAACGAAACATTGTATTCAACTTACATTTATGTGGTTATTATAAATATAAATAAAAAGTTTTAAGAATTTTATTTATTATCTGAGTGTTTTATTTATGTGATCGTAATCTCAATAATTTCAGTGAAGCGGGAGTATTGTGCATTATTGAGACTTATAAGTAGTTCGGGTGTGTATTTCACATGTTTACAGAAAACAAAAACGCTACGCTTGACAGGTACTGACGTGTTTGACTTGGTTTTGTTTAATGTATAGAACAAAACATCGCGCTTCGCGCTGTAGAAATGTCATAGCAATCATTTTAGTTTTATGAATGCTCTTCATGTGTAAAAGTCTCGAATTATTTTATTCTGTTTCCTAATAATAAAAAAAATAATTGATCGATAACTTCAATTTAGGCACTGGTTTTCGTTTTAATTTGTGGTAATTTTTTATTTTATTTTTGAATTAAATATGAGTGGTTATCGAAAAAAATTTAGCGGTGCAGAATATCGTAAAAGAAAAGCAGAAGAATCTACGAAAATAGATAATTTATTAAAAAAAATTCCAAAAATATCTAGTTTTATGACAAGTTCAAATAAGTCTTCTAATAATGACCAACAACCAGCATGTTCATCGGTCGTAAGTATCTTGATATAATTGCTAATAAATTTTTTTTATACATAACGTTAATCGGGATAAACATTAAATAAATGCCAGTTGTTTAAATTTATTTTTTTTTCTAGCCGGAATTAGAAGAGATGTTAGAACAACAAGGAGAAGAGGAAGAAGAAGAAGAAGTACAGTCACATCATTCTCTATCACAAGATACGAACAAGACGCCGTCAAATTTTTCTTCATCACAATATACTGAAGAAATTCAGTCAACAACTGATATCTTAAAATTTAATACTGATCCCTTTTTATGGAATTTAAATGAAGAAACACGGGATTTCATAACGATAAACGGTATTCCACGAAATGATAACACGGACTTTAACAATTCTAGAAATGTTTATAGTGATAAAATGAGATATTGTTCCAAAAGTTTAGAGGGACCGTGCGTCATGACTTTAACGCCAACTGGTGACAAAAATGTGCACTTTTTGGGGGAGATTTATTAATGTTTTATACGGCATTTATTGTTTAGTAATTATTAATTAAATAAAGTCGAATTATTTTCGTAATATCATTATCGAAAAAACTTGTTGCATCCGTGGATGTACAAACATATCGCTTTGGAAACCTGGATTTGATTCGGTAGTAAAGAAATTTTATAAATTTCCACAGAGCACACTACGTGTCTCACACCCAACGATATACATAACTACATATATTGCTTATCCATACGTATCTATCTTGTATCAATTTTGAGCATTTAGTTGTAAACAAATCATTTATAGAATTGGTTTATGAAATTAGAAACTTTAGTGTTTTTTGTCATCAAGATTTTTACATATTTAAATGAACATTTTATAAAAATATAATTTTACAGACAATTAATGGTTTATTAATTAAAACTAATGTAGAATGTTACTGTGAAATTATAATGTCCAATTTGACAAACATATCATACAATTTGTTAACTATTTCTCATTTATAACTAAAATAAACAAATCATAATTATTAATACATTGCAATTACTGTCAAAAGAGATTACAACAAATGTTAAAATATTAAAAATGCAGTGATTTTCTGTAAAATTTTTAGTAACATTACTATTAAACATTCAGTATAATAGATAAGTGTCCAATTACAACTCTTACAAAAGTTGTTTATATCTCATATTAACTTTGTTTACATTATCTTTACAAAGTTGTATTACATATTGCAATTATGTGTTTTATATAGTGTTATTTCTGAAATGAGAGTGGTCTAAAATTATTTACATCCATTCTTATAAAAATTGTTTAGATCTCTTGATATTATTTAACTACATGAAAACTCAACTCTCAAAATACATAATAACGTGTCTTGAATTAAGTAATTATTTTCTTTTTCTAAAGAATAAAACGCTGAAATTTTATTTTAAAACACATTTGGGCTAGAACGCCCTATTTCGTGGGCGTAGGAAAGGCAATAATATAGCAGTGCACATTGCAACCCGCTTTTCGTAATCTTTTTTATAGATGGGTGAGCAATCTGTATAATTATGTATAGCATTGGGTGTCTCATAAACGTCAAAGGTGGATGAATGACATTTCTACTAACATAAAGAATTATTATTATTAGGCATTCCAAACAAATGAATTACCAGTGGGCAGGTTTGGTATATCTAAGGGTGGCGACATATGGTGTATTCTATCTACTTTACGTAAAATCATGAATAATGGATTACATTTAAATATTTTATGTCAAACACAATAAAAATAATATTTAAAAAACCCACCTATACATTTCTTCATAAATTGGCAGGCTTGGCGAGTACTACTTCGAATAAAAATAGCGTCCAAGTTGCAAGACTATGTCGCTACCCCCTTAAATATACACGAATTTCCCACTGGCACCTATTATTTGACAGGTCGTTGGAATGCCTAATTAGGCATTCCAACGACCTGTCCAAATGGCTACCAGTGGGTACTGACAGTTTAGATATGGCAACCATGTTGACATGTTGTCATTAACAGGGTCAATGATACATATATGTTATATACATTGCTCAAAGCTGGTCGTTTGCGAGCAGCCATATTGCCTGGCAAATATTTATTAATTTGAATCAGTTTAGCAAAAATGTGTTTTAAAACCAATTTTCAGACTTTAAAGATTTAAAAAATAATAACTGCTTATATTTTTACTTCAAGGCATAAGCTTATGTTTATTTTAAAAAATAGGGATGATCAATCTATGTAACTATCTATTTCACTCACCTTGTCAAATCACCAGGCCTACAGAGTTGCCATAACTTCGCCACATCATAACCTGTCAAAACCCACTGGTAGTCATTCAGTTTGGAATGCCTAATAGGGACCGTGCGTCATGACTTTAACGCTAACTGGTGAAAAAAATTTGAACTTTATGGTGGTATTTATTAATATTTTATATGGCATTTATTGTTTAATAATTATTAATTAAATAAAGTCGAATTATTTTCGTAATATCATTATCGAAAAAACTTGTTGCATCCGTGGATGTACGAACACATTACATTGGAAACCTGGATTTCATTCAATAGTAAAGAAATTTTATAAATTTCCACAGAACAGAATTAGTGTCTCACACCTAATTATATACATAATTACATAGATTGCTTATCCATATGTAAATCAGACGATGAAAAGCGTATTTCACTGGGCAAAGTTTTTTTTTTATCTAGCTTGTATCAATTTTGAGCACTTAGTTGTAAAGAAATTATTTACAGAACTGGTTTAGAAATTAGAATCTTTAGTGTTTTCTTGTCATTAAGATATTTACATATTTAAATGAACATTTTATATAAAAATAATTTTACAGATAATTAATGGTTTATTCTGTTGATTAAAACTAATGTAGAATGTTACTATGAAATAAGTATGTCCAATTTGACAAAAATATCATAGCCCTCTTTACAATTTATTAACTATATATTTCTCATTTATTACTAAAATAAACAAATCATAAATAATACATTGCAAGTACTGTCAAAAGAGATTGCAATAAACTATTAAAAATCTAGTGACATTACCATTAAACATTATTCAGAACAATAGATGTGTCCAATTACAACTCTTACCAAAGTTGTTTATATCTCATATCAAAGTTGTTTACATTTCCTTTTCAAGATTGTATTACATATTGCAATTATGTATTTTATGTAGTGTTATTTCTGAAATGAGAGTAGTCTAAAATTATTTATATCCATCTGTTTTAAAAATTGTTTAGATCTCTTAATATTATTTAACTACATAAAAACTCAACTTTCCAAATAAATAATAACGTGTCTTGAAGTAAAACTTTAATTATTTTCTTTTTCTAAAGATTAAAATGCTGAAATTTTATATTAAAACACATTTGGGCTAGAACGGCTCTATTTAGTGAGCACTAGGAAAGGCATATTGCAACCCGCTTCTCGTAATTTTTTATAGATGGGTGAGCAATCTATAATATGTATATCATTGGGCGTCTCCTAAACGTCAGTGGATGAATGACATTTCGACTAACATAAAGCAAAAAAGAATTATTATTATTATTCCCAATCTTTTTTATTAATTTACATTTTTTAATGTTATTGTAATACTTTTAAATTCAGTGTTACTAAATACCGATATTTTGACATTGGATACACTTGTTTAAGGTACAACTTTACAATTTATTGTCACTTAAGCCATTTAAATCTTTTTGCTTAAAATGTATATACATGTCCAGATTTTAATAATGTTTTACATTTTATATCATTTTGACCATGTACTCGATTGTTTGGTATGGGCCGGTATCTATATTTAACTATATTTAATATTTTAAAAAATATCCATTATTATTTACTTGCAATGTTTACCCCATTTAATTCTAAAATTAAACACTAGAGAGGGCTAACTTCGGCAGTAGTGCTGCCTCTATATTTCACGCACGGTCCCTATACTCTATCTTTTTTATTAATTTACATTTTTAAAATATTTTGACATTGGATACACTTGCTTGAGGTACAACTTTACAATTTATTGTCACTTAACCATTTAAATCTTTTTGCTTAAAATGTATATACATGTCCAGATTTTAATAATTTTTTACATTTTATATCATTTTGACCATGTAAACGATTGTTTGTTACGGGCAGGTATCTATATTTAACTATATTTAATATTTTAAAAAATACCCTTTATTTTTTACTTGCAGTGTTTACCCCATTTAATTCTAAAATTGAACACTAGAGAGGGCTAACTTCGGCAGTAGTGCTGCCTCTATATTTCACGCACGGTCGTCCCTATTCCAACGTACTTTAAAAAACGGAGAGATTCAACGCTGTGAGTGGTTAATTTATTCAGAAACTAAAGGGTCTGTATTTTGTGTTCCATGTTTATTATTTGGTAGAAGTGGTGAAATGAATGCTTTTACTGGTGAATGATTTCGTGACTGGAAAAACTCAAAAGCACGCACCGAAGCTCATGAAAATTCTGATTTTCACAAAACTAACGTTAGTCATTTTAAAGCTCGAGCAGTAATTCACGGGCGTGTTGATCAACGTCTCATAAAACAGCTCGACGAGGAAATAGCATATTGGAAAAAAAATTTATATCGAGTAATTGCAATTATTAAATCACTAGCAATAAGAGGATTGCCATTTCGAGGAAATTCCGAACGAATAGGAGATCCTCATAATGGGAATTTTTTAGGAACAGTATAGCTTCTTGCTGAATTTGATCCATTTTATCTGAACATTTAAAATTGTATGCGCACCCTGGTAGTGGAAATACATCGTATTTGTCTAAAACGATCTATGAAGAAATTATAATGTTGATTCAGAATAAAGTACTACAACAAATTTCTAGTGAAGTGCAATATGCTAAGTATTTTGGTATAATTGTAGATTCTACGCCTGATATTGCACACGTCGACCAGCTTACTATAATTATCAGATATGTACGTCATGACGGTGAAATTGTTGAAAGGTTTCTAGAATTTTTACCAAATATCGGCCATAAAGCTAAATATATAGAGGATGCTTTGTTAAAATCTCTAGAAAATAATGGTTTGGACATAATGAACTGTCGTGGTCAATCTTATGACAATGCAAGCATTATGTCAGGTATATATTCAGGCCTTCAGACACGAATCAAAACAATTAATCCTTTAGCAGATTACGTTCTTTGTGCCGCCCATTATTTAAATTTGGTAGGATCATGTGCGGTTGAATCGGTCACAGAAGCAGTTGACTTCTTTTCTACTTTGCAAGAACTATACAATTTCTTTACGATATCTACACATCGTTGGGAAATCTTGGTGCAGCGTACAAATTTAAAACTTAAGAGTCTTTCTCAAACTCGTTGGTCTGCTCGACATGATGCATGTTACGCATTAGAGAAAGAGTGGCCTGCAATAATTGATGCACTGCAATTTATTGCCGAAAGCAGAGATGAGAAACCGACTACGGGATTGCAGCGAAAATTGCAGCATTTAGAAACAGCAATCCTAGTCATTGTTTGGAATGTAA